ATTTGGTTTTACATGAAATCATAAAAAAAATTTTCTATTGACAATTACTATTAGTTTATATGACTCCTTAGTTTTAAAATACAGTAGTCATAAATCCGAGAAATATAATTTATATATGGTACTGCGACCTTGTAAGAATGTATCTTGACTACTAATTTGGAGATGTATTTTTTACATTATTCAGCTACTATTTATGTAGACATAAATACTTATCAATTGAAGATGACGTTACTAATTCATTATTTCAAGCCCCTTCCTAATGTGATAATCCAAACCACAGCTTTAGAGATTCGATTTAAATTACTAATTACCCACATAAGCATTTTCGTCCTTTAACAAAAAGGTTAGGGGACACAAAAAGACTGCTGAAAAAAATAATTTTAACCTAGCCAGGAAATTCGACCCCTACCATTTTGATTAGGAAAAAAGATCCTTATATTCACGTTGTCAGATTGAGAGTGAAGTTTAATGCAAGTGCATTATTAGGTTAATAGTTTAATGCGGTGGTCGGGTTTGGGAGTCGAGCTTTATTTGTTGCTCCTGTAGGTCTTACCAGTTGAGCTCAACCAGTTTTGAAAATAAGCACGATCCACACTTTATGAGTTTGGAAACTGGACTGAACCTTCTGATCTGACTGGTGTAAGTATAATATCAAGTTCGAAAGAGCAGGAATGATAGATGATCGAATACTCATCTCGCTTCCGACACTTTGAGAAGCGAAGACAACTTAAAGGCAAACTGACAAAAAGATTATGCAATGATCGTGAGCAGTGATTAGTAATGAAAGCAGGAGACAAAATAAAGTGGAAATAGATAACGCTGAACAGGGGGAATCGATGAATTAACTGAACAGACGTTCAGGAACAATAATCCATTTTAAGTAACCGAGTCGATGGAAAGCTTTCCTAAGAGCGAGTATACTGAGCAGCAATTCACCCTATTTTAAGTTATAGATGTGGAAGCTGGCCCCTGAGAGTGAAGGACTTACGTTACATGTACCCAATCACCGCTAACCTAAATGGGTAGACCGTAAGAAATACAAGAGTGGCTAAACTAAAACATGGCAACTGTCCATAAAGTAACCGATTGTCGGTAGATTTTCTAGTTCGGGCCGCAAGATAATCGAAATTTTCTGACTGGATCGAAGCATCGATGAGATTAAGGATTCATACCGATTGAGATGAGCTGCAACAATTTTCCGAATTAGAAAATACTGTTTGTGTTGATGACGGTTGGAAAAGAGTGGAAAGAGTCCCATGAAGACCATGCGTCAATCCATATGATTAATGACTAATGGTGTGATTTGTGAATGAACTGAAATGCTGATAAAATAATAAAAATTGACATTCGAGTACCTTATTCGATGGTAATGATGTGTTCATATTTAGGTTTGATTTTATCAGTGTACAATTCACAGTTCTACTGCCCTAAATTTAGGCTGTCAAAAATTGAATTAGTGAAAATATCGCACAACATTTAAAGTTGTTTTAGTCTGTTGTTCGTACATCTAAAGATAATTTGATCAGATTTTCGATTAGAGAGGTAAAGGGATAAAAGTATATTTGTTATTACAAGTACGTGTGTACAATTTTGTTTATCTGAATTGCATACATTGTAGCAGAATAATTACAATGGATCAAATAAGAAACTGGTTAGATATGTAACCACATTGTGTCTTCTATGTTACAGAGCTCAAAGAATAAAATAATACAAAAACAAGTGAATAGATGTAAAATAATTGTATGATCATGGTGATAAGTTATTTTTGAAACGTTGTGATTTTATAAAATATGAAGTACATTATGTATAGGAAATAATCAGTTAATTTTAAAACAATATAAATTAGAATATGGAAACACTTTTCATAAATAAGAAATGCAAAAAAGTGAGAGATTAGCTTTTAAGTTTCAATAATATATGCCTGTCTGTGAGTAGGTTCATGTTTATAACTCAAGTATCAACGACATTTATTACTTGATATTATAGATAAACAGATATCGTCACCTGAGAAGGAACTATATAAAGTATTTGAACGCATAGTAGTTGGGAGAAGACATAGTCCTTGATAAAATAAATTGAGCGTCGATAAAATTTATTTATCTAGTGTTAAAGATGAGATTAAATTTTAATCGGTAGAATTACCAGTAGATATAAGCAATTGTACCGAAACTTATAGCGACAACTACAAGGATACTGCTAATTATGGCACCAGTTTTACTTTTTACATATCCGCTTTCTGCATAAAATCGGCGGAGATATTGGAGCACATGAGTTGGAAGCCATCTTTTGCGTGTCATATCTGTTTCACGCATTCGTGTACGTATGACTTCGATTTGTGCACGCATCCTGGCTTGTCGGGCTAGACGAGCAGTACGACGTTCATGTAAATCTATCGAAGCAGCTAAATATTCTTTGGTATATGAATCGGAATTATCTTCGAATTCAGAAATATTATTTAATAAAGATATGTTCGATCCTATAGTGTGTAACGAACGCGAAATAGTATTCTTTGGATATAAATTAGATGTGACTGAATGTGTTGTAGAAAGCGTAGACAAAATAGGATTCTTTTTACTACTCTCGTAACTTGAAAGAAATGGTTCTATTTGACTGGTTGGTAAAGCATTATTAATCCTGAAATGACAATCAATAATAACGGCATTCATTATTATTTGGTGATGAATAATAGAAACAAGTAAACATGTAACATAGAAAACAACTGACAATAAACGAATTAAAATTACACTCATAATGAGAGAGATTAATTTGTGGAAAATCTCAGCCAGTTACAACGTAGGACCAGGCAAATATGTGCATCGGTCCAAATTGCCATACCTCATTAGCACAGCAAGATGAACACCGGATTCATAGGAGTGGTTAGGTCAAAGATGGTAGTATATAGGAGAAAGATTGCAATAAGGATATAGTATAGGAAGAAAGAATTAGTTTGTAGAAAGAAAGATATGAAGCGATTTTAATCTCTTAGTTTAAGGAAAGACAAAGAGTGTATACACTTACGCCATTGTGATCGGTTCTGAGTCATATCACCTAGAGTCTCCAACCATTGATTATGATAGTCATGCGGACCCCAACCGTGTGGTCTGCATCTACCAACATATCTCAGACCAAAAGTTAGTGACTTTAAGCACTGATGCCACGTTTTGGTTCGGTCGCCTTTAACATTCTTCCGACCATCCCCAACACTGGTCATCATTGCTCGTCGTGGTAAACGGTGTTCAGGCATACGTAACACGCGGCCCAACGATCTCAGTCGACGAAGATTCACAACCTCATCAACTGATTTACCATTGTTCCCTAATACCCTGCGTCTAACCTTACTATTACTTACCCGGTGATCCCAGCAGATGCGAACAATATTTCTAAGACATATGCGGCCAAATATTAGTAGCTTACAAATGTAAACTTTTAGTAGTCACGTTTCGCAGCCGTAAAGTAAGACAGAACAAACTGCCGCGCAGTATACTGGCCCCTTAATTGATAGACAGATATCTCGCTTTCGCTATAAGTGACGTAAGTTGGTAAAAGCCAAACGAGCTTTTCGAATTCGTGCTGAGATCTCGTCAGACACCAACCCATTAGGGCTGACCAGACTTCCACGATAAGTGAAGTTGCCAACGCGTTCGACTGCTTCACTCCCTATCCTTAGTTCAGGTGTTGACAAAGGCCAGTCCTGAAGCAACAATTTGCATTTAGAGGATGAGAAGCGCATCTCAAAAATTCCGGTATTGTTGCTCAGTGCTACCGAAACTCCGCATTTTATCAGCGTCTTCACTAAAAAGGATAATATCATCTGCGTATTCTAAGTCGATAAGTGGACCTCCTGGTAGGAGATCAGTGCCCGAAAATCCAATCGATGAGTATTATTCCCATCAGTAGGTCTATGATAAAGTTAAACAAAAATGGAGAAAGTGAATAGCCTTGAAGGACACCACTTGAGATTGCAAAAGTAGATGACAGTTCGCCATAAGCTCTGACTCGACTGGTAGTGTTAGAGTAAAGAGCCTTCATAAGGTTTATGTACTTCTGAGGTACACCTTTGAATGACAGACACTGCCACAGAATCTCGCGGTCTACCGAGTCAAATGCTGCTTTTAAGTCAGGAAAGAACACAATTGTCGGACGCCGATAAGCATACATGTGTTCTAGAACCTGATGAATGGTGAATATGTGGTCGATGCAGCTACGATCAGGTCTGAAGCCAGCCTGATTTTCTCGTGTTTGCAGTTCACGAGTCTTAGTTAGGCGTCCGATAATTATTGATGCAAGTATTTTAGATGCTACGTTATTCAAACTAATCCCTCTATGGTTGTCACAGGATGATTTTGACCCTTTCTTATATATTGGGACAATCAGTGATTGTGACCAGTCAGATGAGATTACGTTCAACTCCCAGATTTTAGATAAAATATTAGTCAACTTAATCGATAAAATTGGACCACCATCCTTAAAGACCTCTGGAGCCAATCCATCTGCACCAGCTGCCCTTCCTCGTTTCAGATTAACTATAGCCTTCTCAACTTTAGCAAGAGTTGGGGGACCTACTTCAATGTTCCATTCACATTGTCTGGGAATGGAGGGTAGTTGTAGAGTAGCTGAAGGCCAGTTGAATTGTTCTCTAAAATGTTCCGCCCATCGTTCTAAACGTCTGGACTGGGAGCAGATAAGAGTGTCGTCTATTTCCGAAATAGTCTCACTTACACTTGACTTATTAATTCCAGTTTCTTTTATTAGTCTGTAGAGCTGTCTTGCGTTAACTACAGCCGTCGCCTTTTCAATCTATTTTTCTTTCGCTGCCCACCACTGCTCATGGTCATTCCTTAGACTTCTGTTTAGCCTAGATCTGATTTGTTTTCGCTCTTTATCGTGTTTAGAGCCTGATTGGATGAGATTACGAGAATCCATTAGTACAATTGACTTAGAAGAAATTCATTGGTTTTTTGTAACTCTTTGGTTTAAGTCATTAACAGATGTCACTGCTGTTTCCACAGATGTTTTTATATCTTTCCAAGCAATATCTGGGTTAGCCTCGTTGTCAGGATTACCTAAATGTGACCTCAGTCATTCTTGGAACCTACTTTTGGTTTTCTCATTACTCAATTCAATTCTAATGGGTGTTTTTAGTGTGGCAGAAGCAGATACGTGCCCGTATTAGAGCATGGTCGGAGTCCAGGTAGGTATTCCAGAATGAGCGACAATCTTTTATCAAGCGTCTCCTGCGATGACTGATGGCAATATGTTCGATTTGAGTCCATCGTTCGTTCGGTGCAGGGAGTCGCAATGTCAAACTGTCTCTTCTTATGCTCTAAATCAGTGTTTGCTACAAATAAAAGACTGTATGAACACAGTTGCAACAGACGATCACCATCATCTATTCGCTGTGCCGGAATACTAAAATACCCACCTAAATGCCTTTCTGTTTGGTTTAAACTACCTACGTGGGCATTAAAGTCACCTGCTACGAGTACTATGTATGAACGTTTAGCTTTCTGAAAATCTAAAAACAGAACAAGTGAAATAGACTGTCAAACCAACCGTATCAATTGATGGTCACATTTACACTGGGAGGTTTCGAACAAGTAGATCACCCTACAAAATCCCTTCGATTTGATGCCACTTATGTAAGGGTATGTAGTGAATTGTCATCTGAGTCAGACAACATAGTCATATATCCGACGTGACCGAACTCAAGCAGTTGTTCCTAGGGTTCTGTGGTCAAACTCCCACGTCGCCAAGACCACCACAAATACTGTTTTTGTTTCAGGTCCCTTATGAAGAAATATCCTTTTACGATGTGAGGCAGCGGGGGATGACAACCACCCTCATACTTCTAACGAATCTTGAGATCAGTTTGTGACTAAATCACTACCTCACCTATTAATTCATCCCCAAAAATAATCTTTCTTGTACAACTTCATCATCATGAGTTAGCAATGCTAATGATTCAAGTTCACGAAATGTTATTCCTGAAACCACACGCCAAACTCCATGTTGGAGCTTTTAATGTTTGAACCTAATGTGTGTGTCAGATAGAACAACAGGTTTCTTTAGACAGGACTCTAGATTATTGCGTCGTCGATGTATGCTGAGTCTCCGAAACGCCCATACGGACATTCGTTTCACTTTACTTCGTGTGTCTGGAGTCCTTACTGCTACTTCCCTTGACCTCACTGGTATAGGTGAATCATTGTATTAGAAAGCAGAACAAGATTTGCTAGACTAGATTCTTACAGACAGTTGCATGTGAGCTGTTCAACTAAACGGAACAATAAGAACATGAGAAGATAGTGACACACACACCGTTGCCTTTTCATTGTCTCTGCCTATAATAACACTGATTGCAGTTCAGATGAATTTTATAAGAATCTATAGTGGAAGGTGATTTCAACGCTCAAACAGGTAGAATAAACCAAACCTAAATGCACTTAGGCAAATCTCACAGTGCCACAGCTCAGGAAACAGATAATGGTGACCGTTTGCTGCAAATATGTTCTGATAATCACCTATTTCGAGCAAGCACACACTTTAGATATAAGTAAAAACATCGTCTGACGTGGCGACCCCCCACAGTCGACTCAACGATGGATTCAAATACACCACATCCCCGTTAGCCATTGTAGAAGGGGCTCGATAGAAGACTATTGCTAATAATAGAGTATATTTTTAAACTTAGACCATATTCTAGTTCGAGAACATATTTTACCTGCATCCTACTGAAAGTGGAGAAGCTACAGCAAGAAAACGTCTGAGAGTTCGGTTCGACTGAATGATGAAAAATTTAAGAACACATTTAGGTCACTCAGCTACAACGTAGGACCAGGTACATATATGCATCGGTCCAAGTAGCCATAGCTCATTAGTACAAGATGAACACCAAATTCATAGTAGTTACTTCAATGGTAGCAAAAAAACATTTCATCAGTTGAGATGGCTGGGACACATGTTACGTACGCCCAACCATCGACTGCTTCGACGTGCGATGTTCAATGGTATAAGAGTAGGTTGGAAGAATGCTAAGGGTGACCAGACCAAAACATGGCACAAGTCCATGAAGTCACTGACAAGTGAACTGACCCATATTGGTAGGTGTAGACTACCTGGTTGGTATCAGCGAGATGATAGCAACCGATGGTTAGAGACCCTGAATGTTATGACTCAAAATCGTTTGCAATGGCGCAGGTGCATCCACCTTTTGTGTTCTTCCAAATTCTAATCTCCTGAATTCTTCATGTCCCTTTCTTTTTTTTCCTCTTTCCAAATTTATTTCATTGGATTATACTCTTACCGCCTCTACGACTACGGGATTTAAATCAACAACTGCATCTCTGTGCTAACGTGGTGTGGCAACTCTAGCTGATGTACGTACGTACGAAGTTCTACGTTGTTACTGAGGGGTATGATACAGGGAGAAAAAATTAGTTCGTAACGAGAAATGTATGAAGTAATTTTAATTTCATGGTTTAAGGAAAGACGAACTGTATATTTAAAGAACAATTAGAGGAGTTAGTCAACCATGAACGTGATATCGTCCCCCCGAGTTAGCTTAGCATGATTTAAGAGTCGTCTAATGAACTGTCAGATGCTTGGGAACTCATCCTGTCTGGCTCCGAGCATGG